TTGATATGCTGCATATTCTTCCGGTGATAGAACAATGGGAGATGGTGTGAGCTGAGCAACATGGGCTGAGGGAGGAGGTCTCCCATGTAATTTCCAACACCTGTCTTTAGTATGACCAATTTTATGGCAAAAATCACATTTAGGACGATTCCATCCTGAGTATCCGGTTGTGTTTTCTGTCAGAACTCATAAAAGACATTTTTTTTAATACTGTTTTTTTTTTCTTTTTTTCTTTCTTTTTTTCTTTTTTAGAAGAATGAAAAGCTAATATTAGTAAAACAAATGAGAAATTAAAAATAAAACCTGCTGAGGATCAACGCTTCAAGACAGTAGAACTCACGATAGCTGTTTGCAAATACTCCGTAAAAAATAAAACTTGTTGACCATCTCACGTTTGAGGGACCATCTCTCAGGCATCGCCAAGCTGGAGTGTGTTGACCAAGAGAGCAGACCAGAGAGCAGTGAAACAGCGGAAGTAACTGCCTGGGATTCCGTCAAATAGGTGGAGCAACGGCCAGAGCAGCGGCGAGCGGCCAGAAAGGCGGCGACGACCGATATGAGCGGCGCGTGGTTTTGGCGGCGGCGCGTAAGATCGGCAGCGGCGCGTGGTTTTGTCGGCGGCGCGTTGGTTGTCCGATGAGTGGCTGGTTTATGTTGTTTTGGTCACTAGGAGTCACATATATTCAGTGTGTTGTCTGTGTGAGCTCGAGATCAGTAGAAAGAGAGAGATCTGCAATGAAAGGTGAAGGAACCTGGCAGTTGGCGGCGGCGCGTGGCAGTGCGTGCAAGGTGCAGCAGAGGTGTAGTTTCAGACGTTAGTGTACTGAGGATGGCGGTAGGTGTGGTTTGATATATCACTACCTGAAATTGCTCAAACACCAAATGCTCTTACTGCTCTTACTGTTCACGGCGGACTTTCTTGCCGGAAATTAAGAATGCTATATCTAAAGACATATACGGCTCTGATACCATGTGAACAAGTATTGTTATATTTCATATACTTGATGTTTTAACGTACTATACAAGAAGCTATATTTATAGCTATATTTAGAGTACTAGGGTTTTCTATACAAATGGGCTAATCCCAGTACTACTAGAGTTTCCACAGTTTACAATTAGTAAACATCATATACATGCATGCAAAAAGAAAAAGCACATCGGAGAAAAAGCATATCGGATGACAATTCCAGAACCGGTGTCTTATTAGGGTCTTCTCTAAGTAGTTAAGTCGCTACTTGGTAGCTACTCGGTCAATGGCCGAGTGGTGAGTAGGACCGAGTACTCGGTATTACTATGCCCTATATTAATTTTAAAATATGAAATTATTTTAAACCCAAATATTAGCGTTATTCCATTACTAAACCCAACTATTAGCGTTATTCCATTACTAAACCCAAATATTTATAATTCTAAAATAATCAAAAGTTCACATGTGGCCTTCTCAACTTGATCCCAAGCTACCTGAAACATATTTAACCAGTAAAAAACTAAAAAAGGAAAAAAAAAATGAATATCTGGATGGCTGAAAGAACAGACAGTTCCTCTGCTTCTTTGGTCTAGGACGGATGGCGAACAGGGGAGCAGATGACACAGGCAGCAAGGAGGAAAGTTCCCATCTATTCTGGCCCACTCCTTATTCTAATCAAATAGAAGTCCTAGACACTCTTTGTTTTCCTCTTAAATCGTCGCTGGATGGAGAGTTTGTGACGCTAACAAAGCTAGCAATGGCGAAACACCTTCAGCTCTCTCCCTTCTACCATCAATGGCTGAATGCTAATGGCTCTGGCTTTTCTCTTCTTGGCTATGTATGGGAAGAACACAGGCTAACTCCCCTTCTCCGGCTATCTCCCGTCCGCGGTCCACCTATCATTTACGAGTCAAGTCCGGCTGTTCTATTCTCTTAATTCAAAAGAAGAGGCTGACGGTAGGATGATGAGAGAGCTGTGTTGTGTAGCAGCCGATTTCACTTCCTTCCCTTCCTGGGTCCAAAGTAGTCACCCCTCAATAAGGAATGTCATGGAAGAGCACTGCGGCAGCCATGGAAAAACTAACACAAAAAGGAAAAAGCGAAAGACAAGATAGAATTAGGGCCAGTGAACACCCTGGGTGAAGCTAAGACGGACGGAGCAGGAGAAAAAGAGAAAAGAAAAGAGAACGGAAATGAAAAAGGAAAAAAACGGAACAGAAATAGACCAATTAAAACATGGGGTTAGTGTAAACTGAACTGAATTGGAAACTGAATATTCTTGTATATTAATCAAAGGAAGGGATACACTTATATAGGAAATCCTAACATCTAACTAGTACATCTAGTACATGTAGTACAACTAGTACATGTAGTACAACTAGTACATGTAGTACAACTAACCTAACATCTAACTAGTACAACTAGTACAACATGTACTACAATAGGAATAGTGCAAAAAGTACGACATGTACTACAATAGGAATAGTGCAAGAGATAGTATTCTTCACACCCCCCCCCCCTCAAACTCAAGATGGGACAGCATAGACCATCGAGAGTTTGCCAAGGAGGAAGCGAAAGCGGGCTGCAGTGTGAGTCTTGATGAAGAAATCAGCCAATTGTAGTGTGGAGCAAACAAAAGGCAAGGAAATCGTAGCCGACTGAAGGTATTGACGAATAAAATGGCAGTCGATTTCAATGTGCTTTGTACGTTCATGGAAAACAGATTTATGAGCAATCTGAATAGCGCTCTTATTGTCACAATACAGAGGCGTAGGAGAAGTGATAGAGACACCCATATCCGAGAGAAGCCAACGAAGCCAAACAACTTCTGAGGTAGTGTGTGCCATGGCACGGTATTCAGCTTCGGCAGTAGATCGAGCAACAACAGATTGTTTCTTACTTTTCCAAGAGATAAGAGAATCACCCAGAAAAACACAAAGGCCAGAGGTGGATTTGCGGTCACTAATATCACCGGCCCAATCAGCATCAGCATAAGCTTGGAGTGTCAAACTGGAGGTGGAAGATAATAGAATGCACTGGTGAATAGTACCACGAATATAACGGAGAATACGTAAGAGGGCAGCCCAATGCGTAGAGCGAGGAGCAGAGACATATTGGCTGATAATATGAACAGCATGAGAGATATCCGGTCGAGTCACAGTAAAATAAACCAAACATCCTACTAACTCACGGTATTCAGTAGGATCTTCAAGAGGAACACCATCAGAGGCAGAGAACTTGGCATGAAGCTCAAGAGGAGTGTCAACAAACTTGTGATCCGTGAGACGAGCGCGATAAAGAATGTTAGTGGCATATTTAGACTGTCCCAGAAGAAAACCCTTAGGAGAAGAAGCAACTTCAATACCAAGAAAATACCGAAGAGGGCCCAAGTCTTTCATCTCAAATGCACGAAACAAATGGCTTTTCACGTCAGCGATAGAAGCAGAGTCGGAACCAGTGATAATCATGTCATCCACATATAATAGGAGAAGAACTAGACCATGAGAGGTGTGCCGAATAAAGAGAGTTGAGTCGTGCATACTTGGTTTGAAACCAATGTCAAGAACCACATCCTGAAAGCGAGCATACCAAGCTCGAGGGGATTGTTTCAAACCATAAAGAGCACGACGTAAGTGGCAAACATAACCAGATGAATGAGAGACACCCGGGGGAGGTCGCATATAAACTTCCTCATTAAGAAAGCCATTAAGGAATGCATTCTTAACATCAAGTTGATAAAGAGGCCACTGATGCACAGCAGCAACAGAGATCAATGTGTGAACAGTGGTCATTTTTGCAACAGGAGCAAAGGTTTCTTCATAATCGATACCATATTCCTGAGAAAAACCTTTAGCAACAAACGGGCCTTGTACCGTTCCAAGGATCCATCAGAATGAGTTTTGACCTTGTAAACCCATTTGCAGCCAATAAGATTCTTACCTGCCGGGAGTGGAACCAATTCCCAAGTATTATTCTGAGCAAGAGCAGTAAGTTCGGCATTCATGCCTTCAACCCAGTTGGGATCATGCAAGCTTCTTTATAAGATTTGGGCTCAAAATAAGTGTGAATTCGAGAAAAAAAGACTGATAAGAGGATGAGAAACAAGTATGAGAGAAACCAAATTTTACCGGTGGATGACGATTCTCACGGATAGGATACCGATGTGCAGGTGGATCAGGATCGTCCAAAGCAGATGGGGCAACTGGAGAGTCAGATGGTGGAGGTGAACGTGCAGCACGGCAGAGTGAACGAGAAGATAGGAGTCTGTGGCGGGGATGAGGGAGCAACATGTATATCTGATACCTCTAGTGTGGAGGTATATTCCTCAGACGACACATTCGTTGGGAAAGGGTCAAGGTGAACTAGATCCTCTTTGGTCACAGGAGCAACATGCGGAGGGAGAGTGTAATATGGCAGACGCTCTAAGAATGTGACATGTCGGGATGTATAGCACTTTTTTGGTGACTGGGTCGTAACAACGATAGCCTTTTTGTTGAGTACCATATCCCAAAAAGACACAGATGGCACAACGAGCACTTAACTTGGTACGATCCTTTTTGGGGAGAAGTACAAAACATGTAGAACCAAAAACACGAAGGAGAGAGTAGTTAGGAACCTGACCATGAAGTCGTTCATATGGTGAGCTGCCAGAGAGAAGGGGGGTAGGCATTCGATTCAAGAGATAAGCTGCAGTGAGAACAGCTTCGCCCCAGAAAACAGATGGGACAGAAGATGACAGTAACAAAGATCGAGCAGTGTCAAGAAGGTGACGATGCTTCCTTTCGGCTCGACCATTCTGGGGAGGAGTGTCAGTGTAAGAGGATTGATGGAGAGTCCCAAGTTTGTCTAAGAAGAAAGTAAATTCATTAAGAGAATATTCCCCACCCAAGTCAGAACGAAGAATTTTGATAGATGTAGAAAATTGGATTTGGATCATGGCATGAAAATTTTGAAAGATATGGAAAAAATCAGACTTGCGGGTCATCAAATAAACCCATGTATAACGAGTGTAATCATCAACAAACGAGACATAATAAACTGAACCACCCTTTGTAGTTATTGGGGATGGACCCCACAAATCTGTATGGACAAGAGCAAACGGAGATGAAGAAACGGGAGTGCTTTTACTAAAAGGTAATGCAGACATCTTGGCAAGTTTACAACCACTACATTCCGAAATGTCACCAACAGAAAGGTTACCCAAATGACCTGATTGAGCTAAAAGCTTAAGACGCTCACTAGACAAATGTCCTAATCGAGAATGCCAAAGATAAAAAGGGGAAGATGTGTGGTGTAAACGGAAAGACGAAGCAGCAACAGGGGAAGACTTCAGTGGGAGGTGCAAGGATTCCAGGATATAGAGGTCACTAACTCTACGGCCGGTCCCAATCTGCTTCTTGGATTCCCGATCCTGCATAACACAACCAGAGGAAGAGAATATAACATCAAAACCAGAATCAGATAGTTGGCTGATGGACAAAAGACTAAGTGTTAACTGAGGGACATAAAAGACTTCAGGAACAAATAATGAACTAGAGCAAATGGAACCAATGGAGACAACATGCATGGGTGATCCCTTTGCTGAGGCAATACTAATAGGGGAGAGAGGAGAGACACAATTGCGAAGAAGCGAGGAATCAGGGGTCATATGATGAGAACAACCGGAATCCAATATCCAAGTGGTTGGTAATATACCTGTGACATTGGAGCCATGCAAACCTGAGTGAATAGAGGACATGGCAGAAGCTTGGGAAGATCCTCCCTGAATAGCTTCCATGAAAGCCTTATACTGCTGAAATTGCTCTAGCATATGAGAAGAAGGTATGGCTTCAGAGGTGGGTGCTGCCACGGCTGCAGAAGGGCGATAGTGCGGTTGAGATGCCCTGGGAACAGAGGAGCCACCGGTATGAGAATTATGTCGACCCTGAGTTTGCTGAACACGCTTAGGACATGCGTGTTTCCAATGACCTTTCTGATGACAATAACCGCACTCATCAACAGGAATGCGAGGTCGGCTTGAAACCTGAGTCTGATGGGATGCTGGAATGGGCAAGAGGGGTGCAGAGTGTTGTACTGGCGGAGAAGATCGAGTGACAAAAACAGATTGTGACGAAGGAGATAGATTCGCCACTTTGAACCGTGTCTCCTCAGCTATGAGCTCATGAACAACCCCATCAACTGAGGGCAACGGAGATCGATGCAGAATAGCCCCACGCAGAGGCTCAAACTGAGACCGAAGAGCCATGAGAAACTGAACAAGACGCTTTTTCTCACGATACTTCACATAACTATCAAGTAGTTGCAGATCAGATGGTTCCATAAGAGCTAACTGATCCCAAAAACCAGTCATATCATTATAGAACTCTTGAATAGATTTATCACCTTGACTAGCATTACGGATTGATAACTCAAGTTCATACTCTTGCGAAATTGTACTCAAAATACATATTTTTCAAATACTCCCAAACATCCTTAGCAGTTTCATACTTTGAGAAATTCATACCAATACTTGATTCTGAAGAATTGTGAAATCAAGTCAAGATTTTTCCGTTTTCTCACTCCCATTTCGCAAAATCAGTGGCATAAGTCTTTGACTCTTTATCAGATGGTGTTACAATTGAGCCAGTAACATGTCCCCACAAGCCTTGACCAGATATAAAATTCTTCATGACCCTTGACTAATAAGAATAATTGGCCCCATTCAAACGGACACTAATACTTGAAATTTTATCTTCCGACGTGATATGAAAAAGTACTCACAGATAGAAGCAAAGGTTCAGGAACAAAGTTACTGGCGCAACGAGGTGTTGCGGGAGCAGATTGAAACAAAATGTTTGGTGAAACTGATGAACATTACTGAATAGTGACTGACGAACAGTAACTGAGTGCTGGAAGTGGCTGACGGTGCTCCGGCGAGGGGCGTCGGAGGTCGGAGGAAGGCTGAGATTGACAAGCAAGTGCTGACAGGTGATCGGCAGATTAAGGGAGAATCAGAACGCAGAAATGGGTTTTCAGATTTTGACAGAGAGAGCTGACTGAAGAGAGGACTGAAGTTGGTTCCCAGCACACATAAGATTTCGGATGCTGATTCTGAACAAAGGCTAGAGAGGTGACTGAAGATAAACAGAGAATATCAGCTCTGATACCATGTAAACTGAACTGAATTGGAAACTGAATATTCTTGTATATTAATCGTAGGAAGGGTTACACTTATATAGGAAATTCTAACATCTAACTAGTACATCTAGTACATGTAGTACAACTAGTACAACTAACCTAACATCTAACTAGTACGACTAGTACAACATGTACTACAATAGGAATAGTGCAAAAAGTACAACATGTACTACAATAGGAATAGTGCAAGAGATAGTATTCTTCACAGTTAGGACATCAATATTACTAAAAATTGAGTCATGGACAACAAAGTGACTTTTTTTTTAAATTTCCAGAAATGTGACTAAAAAGATGTAAGAGGACAATTACACCCTTTTTAACCCAGCTAACTCGCTACAGTGACCAATTCTACAGTGACTAATATTCCAGTGACTAACATTACAATTACATCCATATATAATGACAGTTACATATCCACAGTGACAATTACACAGTTGCATGACAATTACATAATTACATGCTTCAGTGATAGTTACATGCCCCATTCACCCGTCCAGATACTTCAAAATAATTTCGTACTCCATTTTTTAATTTGTGGACTGATTATAAAATGACCAATTTACTAAATATAATGAGTGAGCATTAGCTTTCGACCTGGTCTTACAGATGCCATCTATCCACGTCCTTCAATACACTACCCAGATTCTTGGGGTAATACTAGCTTCGCTGGATGATTCAGACGAAACAGTTCAGTTAACTGCAGTTTCATGTTTATTGATGGTAAAAATCATCATGTCATTTATGTCTAAAAAACCACAATCCAGGATACATGCATAAGTGAAACTGGAATGTCCACTTGCAGGTTCTAGAGTCCTCCTCGGCTGATGCTGTGGAACCTGTACTGCTCAACTATTCAATCCAAACCTGTACCACCAATGCCGCCACACCGTCCCTTCCCATGACTGCCGCTGCCCCGCCAGTTACCACCTCTGCCGCCCCGGCCAGTTACCACACCTGCCTCCCCGGTCTGTTACCACCCCTGCTGCCCCGGCCAGTTACCACCTATTACACCCCGGTACCACCCCTGCTGCCTTGCCCAGTGACCACTCCATCACTCCATGCTGCCCCCGCCGGCACTCCAGTGACCACCCCATGCCGCCCCCCTCTGCCATCCGCCGTCACTCCACGGCCAGCCCCCTGCCCCCACGCCCCACCAGCCCAACCTCGAACCAGCCCCCCTCCCCTCACCCTGTACAACCGGCTGCCACACCCCCCTCCGACTGCCACAACTACCCCAACTTTCCCCGCCCTAACCTTCTTCCCTAGCCACCCGCCATCCCCAACCCCTTCCCCCATCGCTGCCCCCATCAGCGCCCGAACTCCTGCCCCACCCTTCAACTTTAACATTAGAAAATGAGATCTGCCATCGATCTGAGGAGAAGGACGGCGAATCGTCGGGTAGAAGAAATGGAGAAGAAAACGATGAAGGCGGTGAGATCTGCAGAATCTACGGTGAAGAGGATCGGCGGTGATGCTAATGGTCTCAGTGGCTGCAGGGCGGCAGCGCCATGGCTTGGGAGGCAGAGGCGATGCCATGTCTTGGAATGCGGTGGCGATTCCATGGATAGGGCGGCGGTGATTCCATGGCTAGGTTGGCGACTCCCTGGTTTGGGAAGCGACGAAGCAGATTGAAGGATGTCGGCGGGGGAGTGAAGATCGGTGTTCTGATTTGAGATTATAGGAAGGATATTTTTGCCATTTCACTAACAATTAGTCTCTTTTTTCTAGGTTAACTATTGGTCCTATTTCTGTCCAAGGAGAAGCCATTGGTCCTATGAATAAGACATTCATGTAATTGTTTCTTAAAACATACCACGTGTCGGGTGACTTGCTGAATTGGTTTAAGCAGATCATCGGATTGTTCGATGAAGATGGCCCTAATAAATTAGATTATATTAGAATTACCAATATGGCAATATATGTGATTTATAATGGATACCGCTAATAATTGAGATTATTCATGTGATTTTTTTCTTAAAAATATAAATGTCCAAAATTATAGTAATATATTATTCTTGTAATTCTTAGATATGAATAAATTATAATAATAATAATCCCAATGAAGAAGAAACGAGAAATAAGATAGATGAGAATAACTTACTGAGAGATGTGGAACTACTGCTGGAATGAGCCGATATCTGAAATACCTTTAAACCTAGACTTTGTAAGGTTAATTTCTATTTCTTACAATACCCACTCATTAGTTATAAATTCCATAATATCCCTCTTTATTTAAAACATTTTCAGATTTAACCAAAAAAAATTGACTGGCCGAGTAACTTGCCAAGTAAAAATATTCCCCGAGTAGTCGCCGAGTAACTCAGAAGAACAGGGTGGGCCGAGTCAGATTGCTAAACGGAACAGCCACACTCCGAGTTGCGAGTACTCGCTGAGTACTCACCAAGTTGACAACACAGGGTCTTCCTACTTGCATGTATTAGAGTACTCCCTCCGTCACAAAATGTGATTGCCAAGTTTTTTAGCACAAAGATTAAGGAAGAGTGTAAAAACTCCAAATTGCCCTTATGTCTGTGTATTTGTCTGATCCAACTAAAGCAGAGAACACCAAGCAACTGATTGTTCTCCTCCGCATCTTTGAATTTCTGCATCGCCGGTAGAGCTAATTGGAAGCATTAGCTATCTAAATTGTACTTTAGCTAAAAAGGAAGTCGGGCATTGCTTTCTGTAATGAAAATTTTCTGCATCTATGGTTCCTGCTCTTCCACAGCGCCCATGGAGTCCTCGACCGCGGCCTCTTCTCCTATTTTCTCTGTCGCTGGAGTCGTTTCTACTTAGCCAATTGTCTTCCACGCCAGCATCTGTCCTCCTCCAATGCTCTCTCAGGGTATCTGCCTAGCTTCAGCGTTTCTTCCACAGTCATGACCATCTCGCCATAGTCCTCCATGGCGTCTCTTCAAGCGACGTTCCGGCCGCTACGTCTTCACACACACACTCAAAGAGGAGAAGTTGGGGGTAGGTCACACATTCTTCCCTTTGCCATAACACACAAAATCTTTAGAGAAAACCACACATACATTCTGTGAGGGAGATGTGGGAGGAACACGAGATGGAGATTGAGGATTAAAAGTGGGGATAAGTTTATGTGAGGGAGGTACAGATGAGAGATGGGAAGAAGGTTAGAGTCATACAAAAATTAGAAAGGGTGGAGAAAAATTGGAGTGGTAGAACTGGAATTGTACCTACTAATTTTTGCCAAAATAAGGAAACTGAGACTATCCATTTGGGGGGCATCTCAGAATGGATATATAAGATGATAAGACTGTCAAATTGGGATGTAGGAAGTATTAGTTAACGTTGGTTGAGATAATTGCTATAATCACGTCCCATTGTCAGTGTATCAATAGTTTATGAAAAACGATATGGTCATAACTCTAGTTGCTTTTTTTGGGTAACAGGTTTGCTTGAATGCAAAGATTCGAGCAAATGCATTTGCAGCTTTTGGTGCACTAAGCACCTATGGGGCAGGCACAATACTTGATTCATTTCGCGAACAGGTTCATTTCAGTATGATTTGAAGTTTTGAACTATTGGATACTGTTTACAAGCATGTGGTATGATCTGAAGTTTTATTAAATGCATGTAGTATATTTCTTGTATACTCCCTCTGTCCCAAAAAAAGTCTTGTTTGGTGAAGGCACAACTTAATTTGGTAAGATACAATAGTTTTTATTTTTTGAAAAATTGGTAAGATACAATATTTAAAAGTGCAGAAATAATATCTATATTTATGAAAATCATTTGTTGGTTTAAGTAGATGTATCATATTTAACATCATGGCAAGTTATTGGGAAAACATCTATTATTTTAGTAGTATAAATTGTAGAATTAAGAGGACTTGATATTAGCCTCTTGTGCTTTATCCTCTTCTGTTGTGTTACCAATTCACATATTGACTCTCGAAGCTAAGCATTTTCCTCTCCAATCAGATTCATGCTGCATTCCCCCGTATGGTTCTACATCTGCACGATGATGATATTGGTGTTCGACAAGCTTGCAGGGTAAATTATATTTTGGACAAACTTTTCTTTTATAATGTTACATGGAAGTGGGAATACTGAAGCCAATCAAAACTTGTTTTGGTAGACAACTTTAAAATGTATTGCCCCGCTGATTGAGATTGACTCAATCCCTGTGCTTCTCAATGCACTTCGGTTCAGTTCGGACCATAGGTATGTTGTTATTGGATTATTTATTTGTACTCCTTTCACATTTAATGGGATTAGGTCTCACACCACATTTACTTTTTCAGGAGTGACTATGAAGACTTCTTGCGAGATCTTGCAAGGCAGTTAACTCAGTATCTTGGCCCTCGAGTTGATGCTTACCTGTCAGCAATAATACAGGTCTGCCTCAATCTTGTATAAATTGTAGGAAAGTTTAGAAAAGTACTTCCTTTGTCCTAAAATAAAGTCCTTTTTCGAGCATGTTGTCGTCCCAGAGGAGCCACATCTGATCAAACGAAGGTCAATTTTTTTAGTGTAACTAAAGAAAATGTCACAAGTTACATGTGATAGATTGTTTTAGAAACACTAACAAAAAGAGTTGTCCCAAATATCTGCTTGATGTCTGTTGTACCTTACCAAAATTTTAAAGTTGTACATTGATCAAACATAACCTTTTTTGGGACAGAGTGTGTTGTAGAAGCTGCAGACTAACAGTGTTACCTTAGTTGTTGAACAGAACCTTTTTTGTAACAGCCCGTTATGACTCATCACCTACTTCCGCTGATAAAGAAAATTAATGTTTAGAATATTTTCTCAGTTGTTTTCTTTTAGACTCTGGAGGACGAGTTACTGAACTACCAACGTCTACTTTTGGCATTGGAAATGCCGATTCAAATTCCTTCAAAAAGGATTTGACCTGAGGGGGGAGATGGGGAAAAGTAATCTTTTCTTATCACTTAGTAATCTCCTGACGAACTATTTTTTGATGTTAATTGCTGTTAAGTAGAAAATTAAGACTCTAGCAATAAATGCTAGAGTATAAA